GATTTGTTTGCTTTAATTCTCTAGTTTTAATCACTTATAAGTTATGTTAACATTGTTTTAAATTTCCATTTTATAAATCAATACACCTCTGTTTGATAACAATTGTATGAATCAGTGTCCAATGTTTTATTGACTACCAAAATACTGTCTAATATTTTAAATATTATGATTACATAAATAATCTTCATATTCTAGTGTTATGATCATTTACACTATTCCCATCAGAGTAATAATGTAATGCAAACAATTGTAATACTATTCACAACTATAAAGAATGTATTGTATAAAGAATTTCTAATTGATGTGTTTTGTGTACTTTAATAAGCATATCGTATAATATTTTAATAAAAATTCAATGTATTGGACATCAAATGCATGTCAAAGAGTACACGTGTTGGTGCTGATAGTGGTCTGAAAGTAAGAATAAATAAGTCTTTTAAAAGGCATTAATCTGAGAGTTAGTCTAATATTATATGAATGCTTTAAATCTGACCAGAAAACGATTATATACTGAGCAAACTGTTGAAATAATTACAGTAGTGAGTACTTCAGTAAATAATTATTAACTTAGGTTGTAGTGAAGATTAGGTGATTATGAGCAGTTGTGTTTATTTTTTAATACCAAAATATGTCTTACAATGAATTTTCTGGATATCATTGTCATCCACAACAACTGTCAACTCAGGTAAACAATTCACAACACTTTTAAACACACTTTTAACAAATCTATGAAAAATCAATTTTATGAAGAGTGTTATAAAAGCATTACATTTTGAGTGATTGATTGAAACAACATAATTAGAAAATAATAAAACAAAACACTGTACTTACAAAAGTAGTGAATATTTGTTTGCTCTGTACAGTAGTAAAAATTTATTGAATATTACAATCTAGCTAATTTAAATATCCTCATTTCATACAATATGCATTGTACGATAACATTATAGCTAACATAGAAAAGTATTAATAAGTATAATAAATACAATCAGAGATTATCTTACCAATAATAATAATATATTTATTTTATAAATATCAGTTTTAATAATTTTCTAATTGTAATTTGATTTGTTTAAAATTACTTATAGTAATTGTTTAGACTACAAATACTGAGGCGACTCTAATAATATCTATCATTTTATTGTTTATTAGTAAATAACATTATTTGAATTGTCAGAATCTTACTTTTATTCAATTACTTTTGTAAAGAATGATTAATTAATCAGTAATAAAACAAAATTTGTTTTATTTTAGTTATAAATTTATAGCCGTTTGTTTTTATTAAAAATTTTAAATTGATATCAACTATTAATTTTCATGCATTTGGAAAGTCAATAATTTTAAGATTAATTTAATGGATAAGTTTACAGCGAAATGAAACGTAAATCCCAAACATGTATATCATGTATATTCCGGATCTGAACTACAAAAGCCTATTTAATCAGTGATTTTCAAGTTTTAGTTTATTTTTTATTATCTCTTGTATTGAGATATTTAATGCTCTTCAGAGACACAGTCTTTCAAATGCTTTTAAGCAGATATACCGTCAGTTCTTGGGTTTGCAAACAACGCTATGATGTCATGTCTTTTGCAAATATAGGCGGTCACAGCACTGGTAGTAAAACAGCACAGACCGTGTTGGCTGAGCTAACGACTAGTTTAGACAATAAGCAGCGAATGTATAAAATCTAGTTTTGTTTTCAATTGATTTCTCGATTCCGATCGCACTCTATGTCTGCAATGAAACCCAATAGTCATAGCTATGAGAGCACCAGATGTCTGATCTACCACTCGGTTGTGCCATACATTTGAATCATTGCATTCATTGGCACTGTCTTTACAAACCAAGTGATCACTAATTGACCACAACTTGACGACCTCTTTGTTGCCAACATAGCTCTCATTGATGACATCCAACTCAAACAACTCGACCGCAGACTCTCCCTGTTGTTCGTCAACCGGAGGCACCGATAGTCGCAATCATACGACTAATGCCACGANTACGACTAATGCCACGAATAATACAAATATGAACTTAAATTCAAACGATGAGACCAACCATTTGCAGCCAACTGTCCAACAGTCCAATACTCCGTTATCTCCATCCACTTCATCAGTCTGTGCGCTAACCACTCCTTACGACTCGCGACTCATATCAGGCTATCCCAGACTCGGAGGCTTTTATGGCTCCTCTTATTCCGAACAGAACTCCTTTTATACCTCCGGAACCAATCCTTTCTACTCTTCGTTTGTGAGTATTTTTTTCAAAAAAGTCAATAAAAGTTTTATGTAAAGAGTTATAAACTCCAGGGAAACCCCTATGACTTGAAAGACCCAAATGGGAACGGGTGGGGAGCGTTGCCCCAAACCACGTGCTACCTCTACGATCCCATATATAGCCCGTACAGCGAAAGGTACGGCACTATGGATGGAGTGGCCAGACGTAAGAATGTGACCCGAGATTCAACGACAACGTTGAAGGCATGGCTGAGCGAACACCGCAAGAATCCCTATCCCACCAAAGGCGAGAAGATAATGCTCGCTATCATCACCAAGATGACTTTAACTCAAGTGAGCCTTCATTTCAAATATTCTTCACTTTTATTACATATCTTTTGTTGATATTTATATAAATAAGACCTTAATATATAGCAGAAACACATTTTTGTTGACTTTTCTGTTTAATTGAAAGAATCAAATTTCTTTTAACTAATTACTCGTTACGAGAGATAAACAGTAAATCTTGTGAAAAGAGAGCAAAATATGATTTCTTGAATGTAAACTAAAATGCAATCTATTCTTCAGTATTAAGACTAACCACAGATCTCTTAAATATCAAAGGAATGTTTATTATATTTGAAATATAATCTTATATACACTATTAAATAAAAAATTTCATCCAAACACTTATTTTTAATGTTTTGACATTAAATAGTCATGAAATGTATTAACGCTTTGCAACAACTTTTATAACTTTATTTGCAAAATATTTACTATTATAGAGAGTAAATGCTATCACAAAAATGTTTTATGAGTTCTTACAAGTTAGACAATTTAATGTTATAATAATGTGATGTCTGACTGGAATGTGGTGTTGTATGGGGACAGGTGTCTACATGGTTTGCGAACGCCCGGCGCCGCCTGAAAAAGGAGAATAAGATGACGTGGGAGCCCAGGAATAGGTGCGATGACAACGATGAAGATATTATGACTAGTGATGAGGAAAACGATCATAAAGTCGAGTCAGTGGACACGGATGGCGAACAGACTGCTAATCATAACAATAGTAATAATCATTTAAATCAAATTAGAGTTCGCAAAGATTTGGATATAAGCCGTCAATTTATGGATCCGATTAAAGGTTTGTCTCCTTTTTATTAATATCTCATAATAATCATCAGTTTCTCTAGTATTACAGTCGTTCATACCATTCATATAGCATTACGTCGCCTAAGTATTGGCTCTGTTTTTATAAGCATTGCTTTAAATGACTGAAAATATTTAGAAAATCCTTTATAATTATATGATTGGCGACAAAACTCTTTGTTTTAATGTGTAATTGTATCCATTGAATGGAAAATATTTCAATTCCTAATTTGGGTGGTCTTTAAAAGTCTTAAGGACTTAGCAGTGAATCCTTTTGTATTGAAATGCTTTTGAGGAGTGATAGTGTGTTTCAATTGTAGAATAGGTTCATATGTCTTAAGCCCCCTATCGTTAGATCCATGGCTGGAGCGGTGGTAAGCCGTGAGCCCTATGCTAAGCGATGGGTCCATTCATTTTGTGCTAATCAACTACATTCTGAAGTCATATCATTCTTGAGAACTTCCTTCTGACAAATCAAATGTCAGACAAAAATTAGTGAACAGTTTGTTATGAGTGAAGAACAGCAATCATTTCAATACAGTTCTCACTGTAGGCAGTGGTGGCAGTCCTGGCACTGGTGGTCATTACAGATGCAAAATCACGCTCAGGCAGAGTCTCAATGAGATATCCAACTGAGACTTACACTGGCATACAGTGCCAGCACTACCAGCACAGGAATTCGTCTCAATCACCCATTGAGAGAGAATGTGCTCAGAATTGTGGAGAGAGTGTGTGTCTTGTCTTAAGAATCATTTTTTCTATGAGTCCTCAGTGAAGGGATCAGCACTCGTTGTGCAAAACAAACACAACACAGCAGTCGCTTATGGGAACCTATTTAGTCGACTCAATCCCAGTCAGTCATCCTCTCATAAATTTAAGTAAAGCTAACTTTTCTACTATTTTACTACTACTCGAGTACGAGTAAGTAATCGTCCGGAGTCTTGAGTCAACCCAATCCACCTTCGACCTCACTCTCCCTCCTATCCCTCCCAGTGCTCTCTCTCTCTCTCTCTCTTTCTCTCTCTCTCTCTCTCTCGCATTTCTCGTATGCAAACACTCTCACAGTTAGTGTTTGTGTTTATGTTTGATGTTTTCAATTATATTCAATTAACTGCAAACTTACAGCGAGTTTAACAACAAATATGAAAACATTTGCATTCATTTCCATTGTTTACATCATTTCAATTGATTTGTTATCACAAAACTTTATCACAATTTAAACTCAAATTCTTCCCAAAAACTCTCAATGTTTTCGTAGATCTGTCTGAGAGCTCGAGATGCCATTCAATGCAAACATCAGCCAACTGTGCGATCGCACCGGCAATGAATAGTTCCCTAACAACTTGTTCTACAACTAATGATAATCTTCACCATCACTTCAATGTAAGACTCAATGCAAACATTAATTTAGACAACACTTCTCATGAAATGTTTTACACATTTCATGAATTCAATGCCTTCTAATAAATAAGAATTTTTATATTTTAAGGGCTTTACGTAACTTTTTCTGGATATTATAAGATTTTTTATACATTTTCAAAGCTAAACATATAAACACAAATGTGTAATATATCGAGACATATGAAAGCCATTACTTCCAGTTTCCAGCACTTGTATCCAGACATTAATTATAATTAAAGAAATTGAGTCAAAAATGAAATTATTTGAACATAACTTATAAGATATTTATGACAAGTTATGCCACAAATACCACATCGAGATGTGCTCGCAATTTATTCTCGTTTTAAATATAGATTCAAATGCAATAATAACTCATTTTTGAAAACTTAGGATAAATGCAATCCAATAAACAATACATCAAAACCTAAAATCTGGTCATTGGCTGAAACAGCGACAGAAGACAAACCAAAGAGTCCATTATCTCATCTCAACCACAATCTCAGTCCTAATATGAATCTCGCGCCACCACTTCACCTCTCGGCTAATCTACACCCCAACCCATTATCATCGCCTGTGGCCACTAATATAAGCGGTTGGTGTCACCCGACACACTCCCACAGCCCGTACTCTACAGTCAATCCGTACGCAACCCATTATATGCCATCACTCGGACGACACTTCACTCACCCCTCGTCCGCCACATCACTACCTCCACAGGTCTGCCATTCATTTCTTCCTATTGTCCAAAATTAGACCTAAAAAGCGCTGCCAAACACTCACTTATCAGTAGTTTTTGTAAAAATAAAAATCAAAACTATTTTTATAAAATGAGGAAAATATGTCACTACATATTAATACCTAATTGTTTGCAAATACAGAAATAAGTGGATTTGTTTTACAGAACTAATCAATTATAAATGTTTTTAATGTCATTCGAGTGAATAGTTTTTGAAAAACATTTTCAAATCTCTATGTATTGTGTGAACATTAATACTAAAGACTTAGTGAAAGAATTAGTAAAACATTTATCTCTGTTATTGATCTTTAAAACTAATTTTTATGGTTTTCTAATTAAAATTTTTTAATTTATTGGCTCGTATGTCGAAAATCAATTATATGATCGCATAATATGTTAAGAATTAGAAAAATTATTTGAAAATCTGGTTTTTAGAGAATTAATGATCAGTGAATGCATTCAATATTTGAGTTTAATTCTAATGTTTTGATAAATCGTCGCTTTTATTAATTAATAAGAATCGATAACAAGCAGAAACCTTAAAATTTAAAACAAATATTGAGTTACAAATGATTGCGAGATAACCGCAAATAATTTATATAACATTTTAGAGTTCAATATTCCAGTTACCAGTCATTTAGGTCTTAATTAAGAGTTATTTCATGAAAATGAACACATCTTTTGATTCAAATAGTGTTTGAAATTTATTTTCAAATAATGTTTTCGTATGAAATGAATCTCGAAAATCTCTTTCAATAGTATTTGTTGTATAGATTTAATTAAAAAGCTGTTTGCCTTTAATGACTATGCAATTGAATACATAGGCAGACACACCACCCCAAACACCGCCTGCACTGAAATTAGCATCCATGCAATTACTTAACTCAGAAAGTGGTGGACTGGGAGCAGCGGCACTGGCACTGGTAGCTAATGAACAGGTGAATTGTGTGGAATCGGCAAAATTAATGACATTCGCCAATAGAGGCCAACCGATTGGACGCAACGGCAATACTTCACCGCCAACTCAGTCCTCCACTCAAAGTAAACACTTTTTTGTTCATTCAATTGATTAATACGAAACCCATTTCATTCATTTATCATCGGTTGATCTGATTTTTGTTTTTCTCGCTGTTTTAAACGTGTACTCGGAGTCAGACTTACTTTTGTTACTTTTTCATGCTATGCTCAATACATTATAAAACTATTTTTTCTTTGGCTAATACACGGAAGCAATAAATACTATGAAATAAAAACATTTTAAAAATCAAATCTTATAAGAAATCTACGTTAAAATATCGTACGGTTGTAAGAAAATATAGAAAAACTAACAAATCTTTTTTGAATAAGTAAATGGTTAGTGGAAAGGGAGACAGAAAAGAGGAGTCGAGATCAATGTATCGCTATATTAATTGCATAATATATTAGATATTTAAAAAGGAGTTCAAATTAAAAATTGATTCATTGGTGTGTTTAATGAAAAATACTTTTAGTTTACATTCAATTATTTATTTAAATAAATGAGCCTTAAATTTATTTAAAAGACGTTTTTAGTTTATTTGTTGATATGTGTCGACATTATTAATTAAAGTAAAATTAATAGCGTTTAAGTTGTTTTTACAAAACATATAATACAAGTAGTAGTGATACAAGAATTTGTTAAATTAATTTTCAAACTCTTTTTCAATGGACTCGAAGTAAACATTATTAATATTCTGTTAATTATCTAATCTATGAAATAAATTTTATGTAAAATTTGAGTTAATTTTCAAAAACAAACATAAAGATCTTGTTTTTTGGCACAACTATCAGATACTGTGTGTTTTCATTCAGGTTTTGAGTTATATTTTGATCAATGAATGATAAATGTTTTAACAAACACTTTGAATGACTTTGCGATAGAATAGGAGATTAATGTCAGAGTAATTCTCTTTCAATTCAAACAAATTCAGACTAATATTCTTGACTTGATATGACATTCAACTCTATAACTTACTAGTATTTGATTATAATATTAACTTATTATGAAAACGAAAACTAAATGTAAAATTAGTTTTCATTTGTAGTGAAATTGCGAACAACTTATGACTCGAGGAGATCATAAAAATGAGCGAAACTGTGATAATGTGTTTTGCGTAATACAACCCACAATACAATTGTCTGAACTTTGGTCCGATAAGTGGTTATTATTTGAACGAATAGATAGTCATTAGTTTTGTGATAAATGGCACTCAAGAGGCACAGACTCTTCAGACTCTATACTGTTTTAGTGTTAGGCTTGCGATCGGCTTTTGTCACAAACAAATGAAAGCATTTGATTGGATTGCCGTCTAATTTATTAAATACTAAATAATAGACTCAAGTTATGAAACAAATGTTATGTACGTCTATGTAGTGGTGCTTATCATTAGGAAATATCACAACAGTTGTATCGGTAATAATGGAAAACAAAGCCTACATTACAGACATAGCAATGGGAAACAAATGTCCGATACATACTTCATGAAGTGAATGACAATAATTCATAAATTTCATGCCAAACACACAGTTATATATGTTTTGGTCCGAAAGCATAACTTATAACAAATAACTGATAGCATAGCAACCATTGCAAGGCTTTCGGTATAAAATCATTAATAGAGGGTCTATTGCATAGACAACAAAAAAGGACAGTCAGTCTCTCCGTGCGATTATTGCACCAAAAATTGAGTAGTAGTCTAGTAGTCAAGCAATTACTAGAATGCATGCAAGAGATCGTCAAATGAGATACCAGTGCCTAACCAGTGGAGTCAGTGTCACATCCAGTGCCCGAACCCATTGCACGTCATGCTATGGCTGTCATTAGAAAAAAGGGCAAAACTTTCCTAACGTTATGCTCTCATATCACTGTAATATTAACGATGAATACCCGAGTCTATCGAAAATGTAGGATATGTTGGATATGTAGGAGGAGATACCCAGATCTCTCTCTCTCTCTCTCTCTCTCTCTCTCTTTGTCTCAACCATTGCAAGGCTTTCCGTATAAAATCATTAATAGAGGGTCTATTGCATA